AGTGCGGCGCCGCGGCACTGCTTTCACCTTCAACCTCACCTATGCCACGCACCTGGACTCAGACGCCCCTGTTTTTTACGACTGGCGCTCCGCCCGCAATCTCACAGGAGGCCCCATCGCCACTCACTTTGCTCCGTTTGATGTAGTGGCAGCGTCCTTTGGCCTGCATGACATCACACGCAAGAGCAATGCATCAGAGATGGCACACGCGTTGAGTGAGTCCCATCCTCCTCTATCTTGCCTAGGTGACTTTGAGTGGAGTCAAAATTTACCTTTGACGTAGTGGCAGCGTCCTTTGGCCTGCGTGACATCACACGCAAGAGCAATGCATCGCAGATGGCACAGGCGTTCAGTGAGTCCCTCTTCTATCTTGCCCTCCTGCACACTCTCTATCTTTCTTCGTGCTTTGTTGCAATGAAATTCCCACACTGTAAGCATGGCCATATAATTAGCTCTTATGCCCATCATGTCCCTCCCTACCGATGCTGCAGAGTCGGTGTTTCTGCCTTCACTCCAGTCAGTGGTTCGCAACCCGGACGGGGTCACTTTCTTTGGCATCTGGGCAGCGCAAGAGAAGAAAAAGCCGCAGAGATATCTTCATACGAGCAACAACGTCAGAGGGTTCACGTTCGATGACAGTCTAGCCAGGTGAGTGGGACTTAGGTGTTTATGCAAAGGTGCAACTAACAAGACTAAGGTGTCTATGCTCCTTTGTTCAGGCCTGAATGTGTATTCTTCTTGCTGTGTTGCTGCCATGCTGTCTTCAGGGTGTCTGATGAGACAAAGTTTGGGCATTTCGTCGACCTTCAAGCATTAACCCTTCCTAGAGCTGACAGGTGCACTGACAGCACCCATTACTCTTGGCCTGTCACGCTAGCCATGCTAGATGTTTGGCTTTCTGCTCTTTGTGAGGATGTTGACAGTGACCCACCAGAATCAGAACCTCCTTGTTAAAGTACAATTGTTGTAAGGGCAAGGAGGGAGGGAAGTGCTTATTGAGTTGCTGCGAGGGCAGTGAAGACAGGGCTTTTATGATACGAAATTATTTTACCGTATTTGGCTGGATCCTAGATCCCCCCGAAGGCCCTCCGCTCGGGTCTACTACAACAGGGATAAGAAGGGGGTTGTATCCAAACTGTCAGAGGATCAACAGCAGATTTTGCCTGGAAATCTGTCCTAGGTGCCATGCCTAAAATGAGTAGATAGATGCGAATTCTTCAATTACACTATGGCGAGTTCGCGAGTGACCGAATTTACAGATGGGATTTCGTAAGATGGCAACGCTGCTGACCTGTCTGGTTTTGAGGAATGGAGATGCAGGTGCAACTGAAGCATGCAGGGTGGTTGGACCACGTGGCAGACGAACGAAATAAATGTCCTGGTAACAAGCTGAACGACTTTGACGACCATCTAGGTAATCACTTTTGCGCGTCGTCATTGGTCGCACTTTCAGATCCTTTATTATCGTCCGTGAATTTTCTCCACATTCTATTCGCCCGTCAGTTGCCTCTCATCGTGCCCACAAGAAGGAATCAGCCGAACCGTTCTCGAACATCAGAAGCAGCTGTTATTCGGCTGCTATCCTTCTGAACCTTTTTAAAACGCAGTATACCCCTTAATTCTCTCTGAAAATCGAACGCGCTGGCTCCGCCCTTAGGGAATCCTTGCTTCTTTTCGCAAGAACAGCAAGATGCTCCTTCAGATGCTTGTCTGATCAGGCCGCACAAACATCAGCGCACCACTCTGCTTTGCGAAAAGATCAGCAAGAAAGTTTAAAGGGCGCGCATGCAAATTCAGAGCGATTGGAACGCTAAGCAAGAGGACGATGCCGAGCTAAGAACTTTACAGAAGTCTGAGAAGCAGATCTCGTTCAAGGCCCTTCCCAGGGTTCCATGTGCAGCGAAAGGGTTCCCTCTCCTCTGCTGCCTTTGCTGACGTGATACTTGCGAATCAGACCACGTGATACCCGTCTTAGCTGAAACGTCTCAGAAGTCTTACCAGCTGATCAGGCGAGGCCAGTCTGAGGCACGAAGAGACAGGCGAGGCGGATCGAGACGTGCGGATCCAGACTTGCGGATCAGGATGGTGCTGTGGGAGTTGACGCTGGCGACGGCGTACTTTCTGGGGCTCAAGCGCACGTACCGCCTGGCGCTCCGACTGCAGAAGAAAGTGCTTCTCTCGCGACCGGTGATTCGCGATTTCGCGAAGAGGTGAGCTGTGCTTACTGACCGATCTGATCTCGCCGATCCGATCCAGCCGATCAGTCATGGCGGATCTCATCTGGCCGATCTTATCGCGCAAATTCGTCGTGCTCGGGTCTATCCGGCGCATTGCGCCTGACTCTTTGCACCTGACCGAAATAATTTCGACTCCACTCAGAGATCACCTCCAGATTGCGCCGTACTGATCCCTCCTGGCGACCAACCCTGCGTTTCTAAAATAAGATCTCGATTTGTCAGCCGAACCTAGTACCTTGCCGATCAAGGCAGGCTGATCCCGCGTGGAGAATCCTGGCCTGGCCTTCCCCCTTTCAGTCTTACGTTTGTGTAACACTTGCTTTCCTTTTTTTCTGCCTGAAAGGTTCTCAGAATCAGAACGGGTCGGTCAAAGAAGCAATGCAGCTTTGGGTCGTTGAGGGTGGTTCGCTTTTTCCGGGAACTCCTTTCTCCGCTTCCTTCACCGCTAAGCTCCTTCGCTCTCTCACTCTCTCACCCATTCTCCCGCTCCCTCACTCCCTTATTTCGCTCTCCCTCGTCTTTCCATGCGCACACGAGCAGTGAACCGAGTGGTGCTGACAGCTGTTGAGGCTATCCAGCACAGGGACGTCGAGATGGGGCGTTCCGTCAGCAGCTTGCAACTCGGTGGCCTTACTTCTTATCTCCCTCGTTCCTTTCCCTTCCCCCCCCCCTCTTCTTCTCCGCCCGTGGTCTTCCCCACAGGCGCACGCGAGCAGTGAACCGAGTGGCGCTGACAGCGATGGAGACGATTCAGCACAGGGAAATCAAATTTGGTCGCACTGTCAGCAGCAGGCTACCTCAAGGCCTTACCGCACACCTCCCTTTCTCTTCCACCCGCGCTGTGCACTCCCCACAGGTGCACGCGATCAGTGTTCCTAGTGGCGCTGACGATCCAGCACAGGAGCATCAAGACTGGTCGCTCCGTGGGAAAACTGCAACTTGATGACCTTACCGCTCACCCCCCTTTCTCTTCCCCCCTTCCCCCCCCCCCGCTATTCCCTCCCCCGCACCGTTACCCCCTATGTTTCCCCTCACAGGCGCACACGATCGGTTTTTCGAATGACGCTGACAACGGTTGGTTCCATTCAGCACAGGGACATCGAGATCAGTCGCTCCGTCAGAAGCTTGCAACTTGGTGGCCTTGGTTGCTCCAGCGCCCCCTTCCCTTACCTTCCCTTCCCTTCGCCCCCTCGTTTTCTCCGCCTCGTGTCCTTTCCACAGGCGAACGCGAGCGGTGTTTCGAGTGGCGCTGACGGCCGTTGAGACCATCCAGAAGAGGGACATCGAGCTCGGTCGCTCCGTGGGAAACTTCCTCCTGCGCTTCCTCGACCGCATGAAGCCCTCGGCGCACATTCGGGGGGATGGACCACACTTGCCAGGAGGGGCAGGAGGAGGGGGCGTTCATTCAAGCCATGGGGCACACATGCCCGGAGGTTCAGCAGGGGGGACCACTGGGGCCGTTTCAAAGCACAGTGTGGGAGCAGCAGAGGGTAGTAGTGCGTCCGTGGCAACAGCAGCAGGAGGACAGCACTCCAGTGGCAGTAGCGGCATCAATGTCAACAATAGCAGCAGCAGCAGCAGCAGCAGCAGAAGCTTCAGCACCATGGTTGGCCTAGGCGGAAGCAGCAACAGAAGCAGCAGCAGCCCGGTTACCAGATGTGTTGAGGGCCAGACGCTCTTGCTCACACAGGCGTTCAGATCTAGGCAGAGATTCTCGATATTCCCACAACACCTGCAGTCCTCAGCACACTCGCAGTCCTTCACGACCCTCCCAGGACACACGTTGCAAAGCAGAGTACATCAAATTCAGCACGCCCCTTCACTCGGGTTACCAGCTGCACTACATGCCCAAAACAGCCTCCCTGCCTCGCCCCGCTATCTACAATCTCCCTTGTTTCATAAGGCATTGTTTCCATCACAGCGCACCCCTGCATTTTCCACGTATCTGTCGTGCCATCCCACTGCTGGCGCCCCCCCTGCTGCGTTCTCCTGCATGCCAAGAATAGTACAGCCGCTGCTGGCATTCCCGCCCAGATGACCAGCATTATCGGAGCCATCCCATCGCACACAGCAGCTCAAGCCTAGGTTCTGGGTGCCTGAAGATTAGTCCACTGCTGGCCTGTCCGCTGATGTGACAAGCATGAATGAAGCTGCCGCACACAGCAGCTGCAGCATCCAGTCTAGTGAGGATGGTCGCGCTTAGCTTGCCAAGGATAGGCTGAATTTTGCTGGCTCTTCCAAAAATGTGAGCAGTTCATTGCTTTAAGGGAAGGTTTTCTGAGAGCAGTTTTTCACTTCATTGTTAGGATTTTCCAAGGCTGTGGGTTTTTTTTGGATATGTAATTTTCAAGTGTATTTTCAAACATTTCTGATGTGTCTTATTTGCACCAAAGTCATCCGTTGTAGTCTAGTCGGTTAGGATACTCGGCTCTCACCCGAGAGACCCGGGTTCAAGTCCCGGCAACGGAACATTTTTCGCCACTCGTGGCGAGGCTCTATGTTTGGAGCTTGTCTCCTGCACACCCCACTCGAGTGTGAAGCCTCCTTGGCTCATGTTCTGTAAATGCCTTTCATTCCCCGTTAGAGTGGTGACATTTTTGTCGACTCAAATCGAATCCCATTCGCCAATCACACGTCAAGTGTTTCAAGCATGTCCGGTCAAACGGCATGAGGCCTGGTGAGGCATCCAATGGAGCTGCCTGCCAATCGCCTCTTCTCCACGCCACAACCGACACGGAGGGATGGTGTTGAAGAATCCTCCAGTCAAACATCCAGAGTTTCCAGCTTGTCCCGATCGAACGGCATCAGGCCTGGTGAGCCGTCCCATAGATCTGCCAGCTCGCCTCTTCTCCATGCCACTAGTGACACGGGGCCGAGCGTGGAGGGTACCTGGAGGGAGGGTTGGAGAGGGGAGGGGAGGCCAGGAGGAAATTGGCGAGGGAAGGAGAGAAAAAAGTTAGATTGTAACTTCATCTGCCAGCTCGCCTCTTCTCCATGCCACTAGTGACACGGGGCCGAGCGTGGAGGGCACCTGATGGGAGGGTGGAGGGAGAAAGGGCGGAGGGTGTACGGAGAAAGGGCGGAGGGTGGAGGGAGAAAGGGCGGAGGAGGGTGAAGGGAGAAAGGGCGGAGGGTGGAGGGAGAAAGGGCGGAGGGTGGAGGGAGAAAGGGCGGTAGGTGGAGGGAGAAAGGGCGGGGGGTGGAGGGAGAAAGGGTGGGGGGTGGAGGGAGAAAGGGCGGGGGGTGGAGGGAGAAAGGGCGGAGGGTGGAGGGAGAAAGGGCGGAGGGTGGAGGGAGAAAGGGCGGAGGGTGGAGGGAGAAAGGGTTCAGCTTGGAGGGAGAAAGGGTTGAGGGTGGAGGTTGGGGGGAAGGGTAGGAGGTAATGGGCGAGGGAGGAGGGGCAAGAGGAGGTGCAAGAGGAGGCGCAAGAGGAGGTAGCATGTAACACAGATCTGCCACCGCCACTTCTCCACGCCACTAGAGACACGGGGCCGAGCGTGGAGGAGGGTACCTGAAAGGAGAGGAGAAGCAGAGTGAGTGAGGCAGAGCGGGTGGGTTGGGCCGATTATTTACGTACCAACCGCCCATCAGATCGCAGAGGTAGGTGCGTTTTGAGTCAACTCAAAACACACTGCGATTATTTACGTACCAACCAACCATCAGATCGCAGTGGTGGGGAGCTTACCATATGGATGGTCAATCATATCAACCAACCATCAGTAGTGTATGCAGCATACCAGAGATAACAAGGCAGGTTGGGGCGATCTTGTCAGCACGCCAGCAGCTAGAGCAGCCACGAGCCCCATCGCATACCCCTTTTGGTTGCACCCACAACACGTCGACATACCAACCAACAGACACAAGTGTGCTCTGCTCTCAGCATATCAACTATCAAGCGCTAGTGCGCTTTGCTTGCATACCAGGTATAACAAGGCAGGTTGGGGTGACCTGGTGAGCACGCCAGCAGCCAGAGCAGCAACGAGCCCCACCCACACCTTACCCACGGGTATACCCCACTACTGCCACCCACACATAGCTGACCCAGCTGACCCCTCCCACCATCAATGGTGCACTGATCAAGCGCTAGTGTGCTTTGCATACCAGATATAACACGGCAGGTTGGGGTGAACTGGTGAGCACGCCAGCAGCCAGAGCAGCCACGAGCCCCACCGCATACCCCGCTGTCTGCCACCCACGGATCCTTCTAGTGTGCTTAACATACCAGGTAGAGCAGAGCAGGTTGGGGAGAGCGAGTCAGCACGCCAGCAGCAAGAGCAGCCACCAGGCTCACCGCATACCCCAGTGCTGCCACCCACACATAGCCCAGCTGGGCCCTCCCATACCCACCCATCGCACATGGACACCAACCAATGGATACTAGGGCGCTTAGCATACCAGGTAGAGCAGAGCAGGTTGGGGAGAGCGAGTCAGCACGCCAGCAGCGAGAGCAGCCACGAGCCCCACCGCATATCCCACAGCCGCCACCCACACATAGCCCAGCTGGGCCCTCTCCTGCTCTCTTGCTGAAGGCAACGCGTCCAGTAGTGGCCGATTCAACATGCCTTGAGAATGCTGTTCAGAATGCTTCTGGGGATGCTCATGTGGTTGTTGCTGCTGCTCTTGCCCTCCCTTCCCCGCCTCTAAAACCTCCAGCTCCCGCTGCTGTTGCTCCTCCTGCTGCTGCCGCCTCTTGTGCTGATCCACGCACAGCACAAGGGCAAGCAGCATGCCTGGAATGGCCTGCAGGGAAGGGGTGTGAAGCAGGGTGGTTGTTTGTTATAACGTATATGACACCCTTCTCCCACTCCTGCTGCTGCTGATCCTGCTGCTGCTGCCTCTTGTGCTGGTCCACACACAGCACAAGAGCCAGCAGGGTTTAGGGCAAGCAGCATGCCTGGTATAGCGTGCAAGTAGAGGAGAGGGGAAAAGGAGAGGTTGTAAGAGCTTACGCAGTGTTTTGTCCACTCTGGCTACTCCTTCCCCTTGCTGCTCCTGCTGCTGCTGCTGCCGCCTCCTGTGCTGGTCTACGCATAGCACAAGGGCCAGCAGCATGCCTGGTATGGCCTGCAGGGGAGGGGTGTGAAGCGGACTGGTTCTTTGTTATAAGATATATGGTACCCTGCTCTCCCACCTTGCAGCTGTTGCTCCTGATGCTGCTGCCGCCACTTGTGCTGATCCACACACAGCACAAGGGCCAGCAGCATGCCTGGTATGGCCTGCATGGGAGTGATGGGAAGAGGAGACGCTGTTCTAACGTATACGGTGCCCTGTCCTGCAGCCTTCCTGCTATTTCATCCTTATCTTGCTGCCGCCACTTGTGCAGATCCACACACAGCACAAGAGCCAGCAGCATGCCTGGTATGGCCTGCAGGGGAGGAGAGGGGAAGAGGAAAAGTTATGACGGGTTATACAGGGCACTTTTCATGGCCCTGGGCCCGGGCGATTATATCGCCCTGCCCCAACAGAATGAAAATCCATACTTTCCCTCCTCTCTTCCCTCCAAACGTGTTTGGCTCCCCAAAGAATATTCCGGGAGCTCAAATTTTGACGCGCCTCGAAATGAAATCCGAGTGCATTGAGATTTTTTTTTTTTTTTTTTAGGCGCCTCAAAATGAAATCTGCGTGCTTTGAGATTTTTTCTTTCTTTAGGCGCCGCAGAAATCACCTCAACGCGTTTTCGGCCTTGCAAGCATAGATTTCGTGAAAACAACGGCTTCACTGAGAGCTCAATCTTCCTCCTGATAGACCCCACCCCAAGCACTCACCATATCGCCCAATCCAAGGACGTGTCAGTAACAGACAGGTGGGCTGAGGAGGCCTTACTTGCATAATGTTTCGTCCAACAAATTTCCGTGAAAACAACAGCTTCACTGAGAGCTCAATTCTCCTCACCATAGACCCCAAGCACTCACCATATTGCCTAGTCCGAGGACCATGAAGTCCCGCGCTCTCCCTCTCTGCCCCGAAAAGACGTTCAGCTCTCCGAACAGATCCCTCGGGAACAACAGCTTCACGGGCAGCTCTATCTCCCTCACGATGGACTTCGCTACAGCGGAGGGCAGGCGGAGGGAGCGGGTGAAAGTAGGCGCAGACCGCAAGTGCTTCCAGTTTCCAGACATCATTCTTCTCACTCACCATATCGCCCAGGCCGAGCAGCATGAAATCCCGTGCTCTTCCACCCCTCGCGAAAAAATTGAGCTGTCCAAATAAGTCCCGTGGAAACAGCAGCTTCACTGGAGTGAGCGAGGGAGTGCGCGGGGTTGTGGGCGTGCTGCGTGGCGACTGAGAGCATCACTGTGGAGTGGAGGGCAGGTGCAGCGAGGGCTTCCAATCCAAACACGATCACTTTGAACACGTTCAAACCATCGCAACTCACCATGTCACCCAGTCCCAGCACCATGAAATCGCGCGCTCTCTGCCCCGCAAACACGTTCAGCTCTCCGAACAGGTCCCGTGGGAACAGCAGCTTCACAGGCAGCTCTATCTCCCTCACGATGGACTTTGCTACAGCGGAGGGCAGGCGGAGGGAGTGAGCGACGGAGTGGGCGGGGTTGTGGGCGTGCTGCGTGGCGACTGAGAGCATCACGTTGGCTCCGAAGAAACGGTGTGAGAAGAACACCCAGAAGATGTCGTACAGGAATAGACATGCGAGTAGAAGGGCGCAGACCTGAAGATGGGTGTGTGTGGGTGGAAATGGGTGGAGAGTGTACACGTGCGTGGGAGATGGAAGAACACCCAGAAGATGTCGTACGGGAATAGACACGCCAGGAGGAGAGCGCAGACCTGGGAGGGGATGGCATGGCATGAGAGGTGAGGGGTAGAGAATGCATTTATATGTGTGTGGGTGAGAGAAGAACACCCAGAAGATGGGTACGCGAATAGACACACGAGGAGCAGGGCGCACACCTGAAGATGGGTGTGAATGGGTGGGGATGGGAGTGAGTGTGCAGAGTTGGCAATGCACATGTGTGTGTGGGTGGGAGATAGAAGAACACCCAGAAGATGTTGTACGCGAAGAGAAACGTACAGGCCTGGGAACGGATGGATGGGATAGGTGTGAGAGGTAGGGGTAGCATCTTGACGAGTACCATATGTTATTGACATCACCGTCCCACCTTGCTATTCCGCCGGCGCACACAACATGACTGACAAACGCAATACCAAGCGCGCTGTTGCGCAGCGCAGCCAGTGCCCCAACACCGGCCACGCCAACAACACCAGCGCCGCTGCTACCCTTTTATCCTATTACCCTGTGATACTGGTGCTACAACCCTATCATCCCACTCACTTTCACGTTAGGCAGGCGCACGCGGCTCACGAAAGCAACACAGATGGCGGCACCAAGGGCGTTGTTAAGAATCGAGTGCCCCGACACACCAGCCACGCCACGTGAATAAAGAGTGTTTTTTGAGACGTCTCAGACACACTCTTTCTTCACGCCACCAGCCACGCCAGCACCAACACGGAGGGAGGGGAGAGAACTCACTTTCTCATTAGGAAGGGGCACACGGCTGACGAAAGCAACACATATGGCGGCGCCAAGCTGCTGAAGGGTATCTTTGAGAATTCTCAACAATACCCGAAAGCAACACATATGGGTTTTGAGACGTCTCAAAGCGCCAAGCGTGCTACTGAGCAGCCAGTGCAGCTGCGTGCAAGTCACCGCTCCCAACACCATGCTGTTACTATCACCACCACCCTCGCCTGTGCCTGAGTGCCTATCTACCACACAGTTACCATCTCACCTTCACATTGGTAAGGCGCACATGGCTGACAAACGCAACACAGATGGCGGCGCCAAGGGCGTTGTTGAGCAGCCAGTGCCCCGACCCCAGCCAGCTCAGCACCAGCATGGATGGAGGGGAGGGCACACACCTTAACATTTGGAAGCCGCACGAGGCTGACAAATGCAACGAAGATGGCGGAGCCAAGGTCGTTGTTGAGCAGCCAGTGCCCCGACCCCAGCCACGCCACCACCAGCGCGGCACTCACTGCTCCTAGCAGCAGCACTGCAACCCTTTTATACCTTGTGATCCTGGTGGTGCTACCACACAGTTACCACATCTCACCTTCACATTTGGAAGGCACACACACGGCTCACGAAAGCAACGCCGATGGCGGCACAGAGTGCATTACTCAACAGCCAGTGCCAAGACACCAGGCAGCTGAGCACCAGTGCTGCACTCACTGCTTCCAGCAGCAGCACTGTGACACCAGCATAGCCCTATCATGTCATCTCACCTTGACATTGGGCAGCCGCACGTGACTGACGAAAGCAACACAGATTGCCGCACCAAGTGCGTTACCAAGCAGCCAGTGCCCCGACACCAGCCAGCTGAGCACCAGCACTGATACCCAGTTACCACGTACAATGTTACTGTCTCACCTTGACGTTGGGAAGCCGCACGTGGCTGACAAAAGCCACGCAGATGGCGGCGCCAAGTGCGTTGTTGAGCAGCCAATGCCCCGACACCAGCCAGCTCAGCACCAGCGCTGCGCTGACCGCTCCTAGCAGCAGCTGCGTGCGAGTCACTGCTCCCAACACTGTGCTGCTGCTGCCGCTGCTGTCAGTGCTGGGGGTGTTGGTGTTGCTGGTGCTGCTGCTTGTGCTGGCAGTGCTGGTTGTGGTGGCGCTGGTGGCGGTTTTGCCAGAGGAGGAATTCGATCTGTTCCTGTTGTTTCCTTCGCTGCCGTTTCTGCTCTCTCTTCCTCTCACGCCGTCGCCTAGCAATGAGCTGCCAACCTCACCCCTGCTACTGCTGCTGATGCTGCTACTACCACTGACGCTGCTGCTGCTGCTGCTGCTGTTGCTGCGTTGGCCATTCCATAGCGAGAACGATGGAAAATGTACAGTAATCAACGGATCCTGCAGCCCCAGGTATGTATTCAACCACGCTACTAACGGGGACAAGGCGAAGCAGGTCGCGGACGCGGACGCGACGGCCGCGAACGCGGTAACCAGCTGCGAAACCGTCGCGAAGAGGTAAAACATGAGCAGGAGCGACGCGGAACTCGCCAGCGGGAGAAGCAGCGCGCGGTTCGCGTCTAGGGTTATGGCGGACGCGGACAAGTCGCGGTGGCGCTCGGATTCGCGGTCGTGCGCGAGCGCGCGGAAGGCGGAGAGGAGGACGACCGTGAGCGAGGTTGCGACGAGCGCGAGCGAGGAAGGTTCGAGAAGGTACTGTAGATCGCTGAGGGGACCCATTTCGACGGAGTGGGATTGTAACGGGAGGGACTGAAACGAGGACGCACGCGTGCGCTCAGGTTGCTGTACAGCAGTGTGCTACAGTATAAACATAAAATTCGAAAAAAAGGAGTTGTGGCTAATAAGTAAACTCGGACCTGGTAAGCTCCTACTAGACCTAGTTTCCTGCTAGCACTCTTAGAGCTACTAGACCCGCCAACAATCACTACCTACAACCGCCGCATTCCAGTAACAAAACAAGTTTAATATCTCGGCATATATAGCCATGGTCTTGCAGCCCTGTTCACACTTCAATCGACGGAGACACCGCCCTACCGTTTCCGTATTCTCGACGACTGGGAGGAACTGGGCCTACGACCATAGGCCGTACCCCCTCGCCGTATCTCGAGATGTTGCTTCTGAGTCACTCCTAAACCCTGTCACGTGTCGCGCGCTCCGAGTGGACGTAATTAAGCATCGCCTCCTACCTATGGTTCCCGCGAGTCGCGACTCCCCTCTCGTCGACCAAATTTTCGGATTTTTCGCGATATGGTGGCTTCGCTAGAGTGCATAACCCGTCGGACCCTCTCTCACTAGAAGTCGCTTTGTTCTTTAGGAAGCGCTCCTTCAGGAAATTCCTAACGCATTCCCTCACTTCTTCACTCACTCGGTCCCTCACTCCACTCCCTCACTCCCTTTCTCCGCTCCGCTCCCCACTCCCACTCGCTCGAGGTTCGTCGCAGCAAGCTCCGCACCTCTCTCCCGCAGCACCGGCGCACTCAGCTTCTAAGCTCTCCCGCTGACTCAGCGCCACGTGGCATTCCGGCCACTCTTACTCTCTCCACCCTGCGCAACCTTCTCTGCTCGCTCGGTGTCGTCACGAACCTGATGGTTCCGAGCTTACTTACTCCCTCACTCTACGTCGTCGGCAGTTGAATGGTTCACAGGTCCGCGACTCGCTCAGGCTACGCAGTCTAGACCTGCCTTACGCCGTCCAAAACACCTCCTAAAAACCCGGATTAAACACTCCTGGAAACTATCACCTTCGAGTAATCAACCTGCCAGTATTACAACCGTTCACCGTTGCGACTCGTAATGCGGGATTCGCTGGGGCGACGAATTTAGGGCCTTGTTCTCAGATCCGTTGTTCCACTCTGGCCGAGGACACAAATAGTGAACTGTGTTGATTGTATTGTCTAGTAACCAGTTCGCTAGCCTTGACGACCGTCGTTATGGTCGGCATTCGTCACGTTCGCGCCACTGCATTTGCGAAACACCCAGAACAATGTTGGCTGGTTCCACATTTTTCCTTATAACGAAGTATGCAGCCACAACCGAATGACGTGCTGATTATAAACACGCCCTCGCATCAAACCGCCAGAATACTTTTCGTAGCAAACTAGGTAGACATGGCTCCTTATGGTTCCCACCACATACCTTAGAAAGAGGGGATGATAGAGGATAGGAAACCTTATACCTCTTCTTCTGTCCTTGGTTGTTCGAGTAGCAGAGGCTGCAGTAGTCTCGTATCCGCGCTGCTCGTTTTCGCTAAATCTTCTTTCGCGATCGTTTGCTTCTGCGAATGTTCCTAGAGTCTAAGGCTTTCCGTCACTATCGTCCTTGAGACGTCTCGGAAACAACCCTTTATCACGAGGATTTGCCGTCACTGTTATCGTCGTGCTCGCATCGCCCGTTCTCGACATTGCTTGGCGGTTTTCACTCATACGACCAGACACAGTGTACGATCGGATCCAGTGCCGTCAGTATCGTCGTCGTGCTCGCATCGCCCGTTCTCGACATTGCTTGGCGGTTTTCACTCATACGACCAGACACAGTGTACGATCGGATCCAGTGCCGTCAGTATCGTCGTCGTGCTCGCATCGCCCGTTCTCGACATTGCTTGGCGGCGTTCACTCATACGACCAGACACAGTGTACGATCGGATCCAGTGCCGTCAGTATCGTCGTCGTGCTCGCATCGCCCGTTCTCGACATTGCTTGGCGGCTTTCACTCATACGATCAGATACAGTGCATTAGAGCCACTCGGCTTCGAAGCCGCGTCGCCTGCTTTGCCGTCCGTACCGTTGCTCTTGCTGATTCGCATGCTTGTTAATGCGGCTCGAGAATCATACGTTGAGCGATTTCAACCGCTGCCGTCTTGAAATAGCAGACGACGGGTAACCACCACACGACGCGTAACCACCAGACGAGCTGACCTGAAGAGCAGCTAAGCCAGTTCGAATAACAGGAGGGATCAGTTTCACGCGAGCGATCGGAGCGGACGGTAACCACTAGACGTGGCCTGTAACCACCCACCTGCCGAACAGCTAAGCCAGTTCTAGTAACAGGAGTCAGTTTCACGCGAGCGAGCGCAGCGGACTGGTTACCACCTGACGGCGTGACGGCGTGTAATCACCCACCTGCCGAGCAGCTAAGGCAGTACTAGTAGTAACAGGAGGCTTCAGTTAGGCGCGGGCGAGCAGCGCAGAGCAGAGCAGATCAGAGCAGAGCGGAGCGGAGCAGAGCAGAGCAGAGCAGAGCAGAGCAGAGCGGAGCGGAGCAGAGCAGAGCAGAGCAGAGCAGAGCAGAGCGGAGCGGAGCAGAGCAGAGCAGAGCAGAGCGGAGCGGAGCAGAGCAGAGCGGAGCGGGCGCGATGGCGTCGTGGCTGATGCGGCTGAAATACGTGACTCAGAAGTGCTCCCTGTACAGCTACGTCATCATGCGCGTGAGTGCTGGTGTGAGTGATGGTGTGAGGGAAGGTGCGCGTGAGTGCTGTACGGATGCAAGTGTTGGTGCAATGCAATGCTCTGCTGATGCGGCTGAAATACGTGACTCAGAAGTGCTCCCTTTACAGCTACGTCATCATGCGCGTGAGTGCTGGTGTTGCTGGTGTGAGCGCTGGTGGTGTTACTGCATGTGAGGGCTGCTGTGACTTTTGGGAGGGGTGTGAGATTGTGAGTGCTGGTGTGGGGGGTGTGAGATTGTGAGTGCTGGTGTGAGGGGTGTGAGAGAGTGAGTTATGGTGTGAGGGGTGTGAGAGAGTGCGTGCTGGTGTGGAGGGTGTGAGAGAGTGAGTGATGGTGTGAGGGGTGTGAGATAGTGAGTGATGGCTTGAGGGGTGTGAGACAGTGAGCGATGGTGTGTTGTTTGAGAGTGAGTGATGGTGTGGTGTGAGGGGTGTGTGGGAATGAGTGATGGCGTGAGGGGTGTGAGAGAGTGAGTGATGGTGTGAGGGTTGTGAGAGAGTGAGTGCTGGTGTGAGGGCTGTGAGCGAGTGAGTGATGGTGTGAAGGGTGTGAGAGAGTGAGTGATGGTGTGAGGTGTGTGAGAGAGTGAGTGATGGTGTGAGGGGTGTGAGAGAGTGCGTGCTGGTACGAGAGACTGCAGGGGTTATTCTGGTGAACAGGGCACAGGGTATGTGCTCCCTGTGAGTGCTGTGCTGGTGCTGGTGTCTTGCCCTGATTGTTGCTCCTCCTTTATAGGGTCATTCAGCCTGAAAAAGCTTTACCCCCCCTATCCCCTATCGCCAAGGTAGTGAGATGAGACGTCTCGACAGGATGATGCAGCACGAGGCATCATCGCACATGGCAACTCTCGCCCCTTCTTCCTGCTGCTCACTTTCGCTTGCCTGCTCGCATTGCAGGCGCACATGGAGCAGCATCAGGGGGAGCTCCCTCCCATCGCCAAGCTAGTGAGGGCTCTACTGAGCAAATCGTGCAGCACGAGGCAATTCTGGCGCCCTTCGTCCTGCCTGTCCATTCCCCAAATGCCCGATTGCAGACCCACATGGAGCAGCACCAAGGGCAGTTGCCTCCACCGCCACCCTAGTCGCATCACTTCACGTGCCTCCCGCCCTCCCTCTTGCCCATTCCCCGTGCCCGATTGCAGACCCACATGGAGCAGCACCAAGGGCAGCTGCCCCCCACCGCTAAGCTAGTGAGGGATCTCAACAGAATGAGATTTCGTATACGGCATCATTAAAGCCTTCTCTCTTGCCCCTTTCCCCTGTCTTCCTGACCCACATGGAACAGCATCAAGGGGTGCTGCTCCCCATCGTATACAACAGCTTTAAAGCCTTTCCTCTTGCCCCTTTCCCCTGCCTTGCAGACCCACATGGAGCAGCATCAAGGGCAGCTTCCCCCCTTTGGCAAGCTAGTGAGGGCTCTTAACAGAATTGTGCAGCACGAGAAATCGTATCTGACATCTCTGAAGCCTTCTTTGTTACGAGATGAGACCATGAAGCCGACTATAAAGGGGATGAAGGACGAGTGGGTGCTCTACCGGTTTCTGTTGCCGCCCACTTGGCAGTGAGTGTGCCGCCCCTTTTGGCAGTATGTTTCTTCCTTCCTTTGCACTCATGCTATCGCCAAAAATTCTGCAGTTGTGAAGTGCTATCAGCCTCTTTCCCTTAGATGCGTACTCAAACCCCTTCTGGCCTCTCCCCCACGGCAGTGCCATTTCTGTTGAAGACGTGGTGGGGTTTCAAGCAGACCCCAATCTTTGTTCTTTTGAATCGACTCAAATATCCCTGTTTTTCTTGTTGGCCGTCTCGTTGTCCCCTTGCTCTCCCCCGTGGCAGCACCGTTTCCGTTGGAGACGTGGTGGGGTTCCAAGTCGACCCAGCACGTGTTTATTTTGAGCTGACTCAGACCCCGTTTTTCTTTTAAACCCTTCCCGTCCCCTCTTGCTCTCCCCCATGGCGGGGTGCCATTTCCAAGTAGACCCCAAACGTGTTTCTTTTAGCCGACTCAGAATTGCCCCCTTTTCTTATAAGGTCCCTTCCCATGTCCTCTTGCTTGCTCCCTCCCGTGGCACGGTGGCAGTACCATTTCCGTTGGAGATGTGCTGGTGTTCCAAGTAGACCCACCCACGTGTTTCGTTTGAGCTGATTCAGAAGTCCCCCTTTTTCTCATACTTTTTATGGTCCCTTGCTCTCCCCCGTGGCAGTACTATTTCCGTTGGAGACGTGGTGGGGTTCCAAGTAGACCCCAAACGTGTCTCTGCTGCGTCTGCTTCTGCTTCGCTCGCTTCTGCTTCTGCTTCGCTCGCTTCTGCTTCTGCTTCGCCTGCTTCTGCTTCTGCTGCTTCTGCTTCGCTTGCTTCTGCTGCTTCTCCTGCTACCGAGGGTGTTGAACCACCCAGTTCCGACTCAGAAGCCACTGTCAAGACGCAAGCAGGACCCAGTTCCGAGTCAACTGAAAAGGCCAATCCAGAAGGTTTTGATTCAAAACTCTCCAACTCAGAACGTTCCAACTCAGAAGCCACTCTCAAGGCAAAAGCAGCACCCAGTTCGTTTCCGGTTATCTTTCGGCGAGTGGCAGCCGTTGAGGGAGACGAGATGGTGTCATCTCAGCCGTCGGATGAGCCGTTTCGGATAGACAAGGACCAATACTGGGTGCTTGCAGACAACCCGGCTGTTCCTGCAAAGGTGCGTTCCGTAGGGTGTTCAGTTGAGGATAGCTGAAGGGGAAAGGCATCTTTAAACTTTTGATCATTGGGAGAGTACTTGAAAGGGAGAAAGACCAGTTCTGGGTGTTTGCAGACTACCCAGCTGTTCCTGCAAAGGTGTGTTCAGTGGGGTGTTCAGTTGAGGATAGCTGAAGGGGAAAGGCATGTGCAAGGGGGTGGTGTGATCATGTGAGGGTACTTAATAAGAGAAGGACCAGTTATGGGTGGTTGCAAACATCGCAACCGGTCCTGCAAAGGTATGCTCAAGGGTGCTTTGAAAGGGCAACTTGTGGTCACCTGGTGCTGAAGGGTTCTTTTGAGGCGCCTCAGAAGTCAACTTCTGGGCAGGTGGTGTTGAAAGGTTCTGTGCATAGGATTGCTGGAAGAGGCAAGAGAGTAGGGGCATGTTGAATGCCATTGTAACGAGGTGAGTTGTGAGTCGACTCAAAAGTCACCTCACTCATTTGGTCATCTCAAATGGTTTCTGTGCATAGAGTTGGTGGACGAGGCAAGAGAGTAGGGGCAAGTTGGAAAAGTAGGCTGAAAATTCTCAAAAGCAACCGCAGCAATGCTGGAAGAGGCGATCGTAGAGGCATGTTCACCTCAACAACATGCCCCTACGATCGCCTCTTCACCACCAACTCAGGGACTTGGGTTGTTCCTTTCCTTCACTTATACTCAGGGTGATTGTCTGGTTGGTGCCAACTCATGTGACGTTTGAGTCTATTCAAAAGTCACTTCCTTTCCCTCACTGATGCTCAGGGTGTCTGTCTGCTTGGTGCCAACTCGGGTGACCCTTGAGTCGACTCAAAAGTCACCTCCTTTCCTTCACTTATGCTCAGGGTGAATTTGAGAATTCTCATAAACAAATCAGGTGACCCTTAAGTTGACTTAAAGGTCAGCTCCTTTCTTTCATTGATGCTCAGGGTGATCGCCGCTTAGCACCAACATGAGAGTTTAGAGGACAGCAATTCAGAACCTCTCTACTCCTTCACTGTCTCTTCTTTCTGTTTTCCTGCATTTTCCTCCCCAACTTCCTTCGGTGGCTCCTCCCTCCCAGGCGACCCTAGACAGCCGCACGCTTGGTCCCGTGCACGTGAGACTTAAGACAACAGCAACATCTAACCTCCTTCTCCATCCATGCTTTCTCTCTTGCCCGCATCTCTCCTCCCTCCCCTCTATCTCCATCTATTTCTCCTCTCTCCCAGGAGCTTTATACAGCCGCATTCTCGGTCCCGTGCACGTGAGACTTGAGAGGAAAGCAGCCTTTTAACCTCCTACTGCTTCACTGCCTCTACCCCTTCATTTTCTCCATCTATTTCCTCTCTCTTCCAACAGTCCTTAGACAGACAGCAGCACTCTTGGTCCCGAGAACGTGAGAATTGAAAGAACAGCACCTCGAAGTTACTTCTCCATCTCTGCCTCTTGACTGAAAAACCCGTCCTCTTTTTCTTGCTGTATCCTCCTCACCTTTCCCCTCTGTCTTCCCTTCCAAGAGGCCCCAGACAGACAGCAGCGCTCTTGGTCCCGAGAATGTGAGACAGCACCCCAAAGCTATGTCTGGAAAAACTTATTTTTTTCTTGCCTTATCCTCCTCCCTGTCCCCACCGTCCCAGGAGGCCCTAGACAGCCGCACTCTTGGTCCCGTGCACGTGAGGGACATGGTGGGAAGAGCACTGTACGTGGTGCGCTCAGCACTGGACCACGAACCCATTCACAACAGGTACGTGGTGCGACCTTTGAGTCCTTGGTAGGTGCTATCCCTCTCCTCCCTCCAGGAGGCCCTAGACAGCCGCACTGTTGGTCCAGAGCACACGAGGGACATGGTGGGCAGAGCTCTGTATGTGGTGCGCTCAGCACTGGACCACGAACCCATACACAACAGGTGCGGCCTTTTGTTCACTCCCTTGCTTGGCTCGTAGCCTTAAAGAAAGGTATGCTGAGCACTGGACCACGAACCAGTAGACAGCCGCACTCTGTCTGGATCCCATGCACGTGAGGGACATGGTGGGGAGAGCTCTGTATGTGGTGCGCTCAGCACTAGACCATGAACCCATACACAACAGGTGCGGTCTTTGAGTCCATGGTAGGTGCTCTGTCTCTCCTCTTCCCCCTCTCCTACTTCTTTTCACCGACGTCTTTTCCCCCATCTGCTAGTGATCATGCCATGTTAGATGATTCAGCAACCCTGCTTTCCTTTTCCCGTCTCCCTCTTCTTCCCCACCCCTTCTCCCCACGTCTCTCCCGTTTCTGGAAACACCTCTTTGCCCGCATCTGCCAGTGATCAGGCCATGTTAGCCGACTCAGCAGTAATGGCAATGGAGTGCAATATTGAGGACCTGCTGAAGCGGAAAAATGAAGAAAGGCGGTGATTACAGTGACTGCTTTGTTTACCAACCACCAGATGACGAATCAGTTACGGTATGACAACGGGGTGTCCCGTTGAGGATTTGCTGGAGCGGATAAAAGAACAATGGCTGTGATAACATTCTGTTCTCAACAACCATCGGCCCACAGTAGATGATGCAGCTATGATGGCAATGATGTTATGACGAAACTTCGAAACCTCACGAAACTGAAATTGTCTAAGCGTAATTTGCCATACAATTTTTCATCTAGCGTGCCAGTGGTCTAGTGGTAGAATAGCACCAGGGTACAAATACGCTACAGTACTGACACGCCTTCCGCGCCACCGGAACCCACTCCACCTTCCCTGGCTGGTTCTTGGTGGAGTGGGTTCCGGTGTTGGTTCTTGAGACCTCGTTGTTGGTTCTTGAGACCTCGTTGGGGTCTCTGTCCTAGGGTAGCAGGCAGCTCTGGTTAGTTAGCTTCTTATGCTTGGCACTGTATTCTCTGTACAGATATAATATTGTAAATAAAGTGGTAGCACCCTGCCGTCAGCTCGGTGCAGACCCGGGTTCGATTCCCGGCTGGCACAGCGGTTTTAAATTTAAACCGTTTTTTCCCTCCACAGGAGCACCGTGTTTACCCGGGTTTTAGACCTGGGGGTCTAATCCTACCTCGGCTGGGTCCATCAACTGGGTGGAAGTGCAATAGAAACGGGGTCCACTCCGCATGTGTAGATTCTTTTTCATACGACAAGCCAAATACAGTACAAACACTTATCTCGACATCAGCCACCATCTTTAGCACTGACTCTACAATGGGGAATGCCTGCCTAGTGGATGCCAGGCAAGGTATGGAAGCTTCTTGCATTGACAATGGAAAGATATATCAATTGGGACACTAATACAAACACTTGGCTCTCTAGACATCAACCATCATCTGTAGCACTGATTCTACAGTGGGGAATGCCTGGTAGATGCCAGGCAAGCTGTGGAAGCTTCTTTCAGAAAGAATAGATGGATACATCCACTGGGAGTCGGGACACTAATACAAAGACTTATTTATACATCAGCCATCATCTGCAGCACTGACTCCACTGTGGGGAATGCTTGGTGGATGCCAGGCAAGCTGTAAAATCTTCTCGTGTCAGAAAAGGATGGATACATCCACTCTGATATCCTCGATATAAAGTCATCCACTGACGGTGTCAGCATCGCCTCCCAGTCCACCTGAGAATCATAAGGGCACATACGGTATTAATGATTAATCAACAAACAAACGGGTGCACAAAGTAGATTCTCTTGAGATGAAATCATCCGTCAGCAGGTGCGAAACACCGTGGCCAGTGCAGCTGAGCAGCAAGTATGTATTTGTACCGTTGTAGTATGTATTTGTACCGTTGTAGTATGTATTTGTACCGTTGTAGTATGTATTTGTACCGTAGCTTATTTGCACATCACATCCCACATATGGCTGCAGTATTGCACTGCACACAGTGAACATTTATGCGCATGTGCTGACGACCGTACCTGAGGTGCCTTCTGAGTCGACTCAGGTAGAACTTTGAAAATCTGTGTGTGCATGTGGTGATGGTGGTGGTACGGTACCTGCGTTCACGGGGGGGATGCTTGCTGTGATCTCCTTACCAGCAACCAGAAAGAGGCCTAGGAGCGAGGCATACCCCACCATGGTTGTCTGTACTGCTAATTGTAAATGTGCACGCGCATATGCTGTTAGTCGTACCTGCATGTGCGGGGGGATGCTCGCTGTGATCTCCTTCTCAGCAGCCAGGAAGAGGCCTTGGAGCGAGGCATACCCCACCATGGCTGTCTGTACTGCTAATTGTGAAAGTGTGTGCACATATGCTGACGGCCATACCTGCATGTGCCGGGGGATGCTTGCCGTGATCTCCTTCCCAACAGCCAGGAAAAGACCCAAGAGTGTGGCATATCGCTTTAGAGCTGTCTGTACTGCTGATTGTGAAAGTGTGTGCACATATGCTGACGGCCATACCTGCATGGGCGGGGGGATGCTTGCTGTGATCTCCTTCCCAACAGCCAGAAAGAGGCCTTGGAGTGTGGCATATCCCACCATGGCAGTTCCTCGCGACAGGGGGAGTGCCTGGTACCTGCATGAATGCGTTAAGATAGTGACAGAACACGTGGAATTGTGATCACAGTGAGAAAGTTCTCCATTAGCATAACACCGAAAGGGAAAGGCCCAAGAGTGTGGCATACCCCACCATGGCTGTTCTTCGCGATAAGGGGAGAGCGTGATACCTGGATGAAGGGGGTTGTGATGAACAGACAGTGCATGGGATTGTGAGTGCATTGAGATGCTGCTGCAAGCTTAATCGAAAGCGGCCTTGGAGAGTGGCTTATACCACTATGGCTGTTCCTCGCGACAAGGGAAGTACCTGGTACCTGCATGAAGGGGGTTGTGATGAACAGAAGGTGCATGGAATCGTAGTCAGCACCTTGTACGGGTTGTAAACGCAACCACCTTGCATATCCCACCATGGCTGTTCTTCAAGACAGCGGCAGTGCCTGATACCTGGAAGACAGGGGGTTGTGATAAACAGAAAGTGCATGGAATGCTGAGTGCATTGAAATGCTGCTGCAAGCCCAATAGAAACAGGCCTAAGAGCGTGGCATATCCCACAATGGCTGTTCCTCGAGACAGGGGGAGTGCCTGGTACCTGCATGAAGGGGGTTGTGATGAACAGAAAGTGCATGGAATTCTGAGTGCATTGAGATGCTGCGGCAAGCACAATGGGAAGATGCCTTGGACTGTGGCATGTCCCTCTAGGTCAAACTGGTCAACGCGGTCAACGGGGTCATGACACGTCTCCCATACCCCGGCCATCATGCGTGTGCGCTCACCACAAGTACGCTACTAGCAGAATGGCATCATCCATTTCCCATCCTCCCCCATCCACTCTTCGTCCTTCACCATCAGCCATGAGTCCGCACAGATGCTATGCTCCCATGCTTCCCTCAGCACCCATCCACATGTCAAGTCATCATTCGTGTGTGCTCACCAGTAATACATGAACCGCAGAATGGCATCATCCACTCCCCTTCCTCCTCCATCCCCATCCGTCCCTCCCCCATCAGCCATGAGTCCATAAAAGAATGTTTCCACATCTTGGCCAATTTTTGAGGCGCCGCAAAAACGCAGAGATGCTCCCACACCTCGCCCAACCAACCCCCTATTAAAAATCATCACGTGTATGCTCACTCTCACCAGAATTATGCTACTCGCAGAGTCGTATCATCCACTGCCCTTTCTCCTCCCCCATCCATCAGCCATGAATCCGCACAGGTGCTCCCATGTTGCCCCCAGCTCTCGGTCAAAGAGGTTAAACTGGTCAACGTGGTCAACGTGGTCAATGTGGTCACGAGTGCTCGCCAGAAGTAGACAAATCGCAGAATGGCATCATCCACTACTCTACCCACCCCCCCCGTCGGCCATGTGCCAGCACAGGTGCCCCCATGCAGCCCCCAGCTCCCATCCCATGTCAAGTCAGCGTGTGCGTGTGTGCGCTCACCAGAAGTATGCAACGCGAGGAGACTTTTGAGTCGACTCAAAAGTCACCTCGTATCAAGTCAGCGTGTGCGTGTGTGCTCTCACCAGAAGTATGCAACGCGCAGAATGGCATCTTCCAATTTTTGAGGCGCCTCAAAATCCGCGTGAACTGAGACGATTTTTGAGGCGCCTCAAAAATCGTCTCTCTCACCAGAAGTATGAAACGCGGTGCGCTCACCAGAAGTATGCAACGCGGTGCGCTCACCAGAAGTATGCAACGCGGTGCGCTCACCAGAAGTATGCAACGCGCAGAATGGCATCTTCCACTGCCGATCCTCCATGCCCACCCGTCCCTCTCCCTGTCCTCATCCGATCAGCCATGAGTCCACATAGGTGCTCCCATGCTGCTCTCAGTTCCCGGTCAAACTGGTCAAACCGGTCATCGTGGCGCGTGGTGCGGATGGAGAGCTCTAGAGAGTAGCGAGACGAGCTGAGACGGGAGGGAACGGGATGTAGGGGAGGGGAGAGAGAGGCAGTGTGCCGCAGTCAAGCCATTCAAACTGGTCAAAGCGGTCAACACGCCTTTTGGTGCGAATAGAGAGCTCGAGAGAGTAATGGGACGAGCTGGAATAGGAGGGAACGGAAAAGGAAAGGAAGGAAATGGAGGCGTGGGTGGAAGAAAGACACTGTGTGTTGCAACCAAGGCGGTCGGGCAACGTGGCGTGTTGTGCGGATGGACAGTTTTGAGAGAGAAATGAAAGAAGCTGGAAAGGGAGGTAGGGAAGGGGAGAGAGACACTGTGTGTTGCATTAAAGCCGGTCAAACTGGTGAAAGTGGTCAAACCAGTCAAAGTGGTCAAATTTGTCAAAGTGGTCAAACTGGTCAAAGTGGTTAAATTGGTCAAAGTGGTCAAAGCAGTCAAAGTGGTCAAAACAGTCAAAGTGGTCAAATCGGTCAAAGTGGTCAAACCCGGTCAAAGCGGTCAAACCGGTTAAGTAGTACGAGTGGGTCGTATCCTATGAAGGGTACATGAAGGGGACTCACACTTCCCGGATGAGGATCTCTGTGCCATTGAGAACCATGCTGTGTGGAGGAGAGGAGGAGATGGAAGGGAAGGAAAGAGGAGCGCATTGAGAGAAAAGCGGGCAGTACTGATGCACCCCAACAAGAGCTCACACTTCCCGGATGAGGATCTCTGTGCCATTGAGAACCATGCTGTGTGCATGGGGATGAGGAGATGGAGAGAGTGGAGGGTAAGAGAGGGGGGAGAGCAAAAGGTACAACTTGTAACGTGTACTAGGACGTGAGGGTTGGGGGGGGGGTCTCTATGCCATGCCCTCCCCGGACGAGGAAAGGATCTCTGTGGCGTTGAGCGGCATGCTATGTGGTTGAGGATGAGGGGATGGAGAAAGAGGGATGTGATGCGGATAATGGGAGCATCGGAGAGAGCTGAGAAGGGAGGTGGTGGCTAAGGTGATGGCTACATAGTTTGGTTTGATTTCGAACTTGACTAGGGGAGTGTATGCCAAGTTTGGTGGCTACATAAGAGAATTTCGGCAACCAGGCTTTTCTTTTGCGCTCCCTCGTCTTCTTTTCCTGCCTCTGTTTTCTTTTCAACTACAACTGAGGGCAACAACAATGGAAACAAAGAGTACTGCGAGAAACAAAGAAAAGGTATTTCTAATTCCTTTAGACCAAAAAACGAATGTTGTAAAGCACAGAGAGAAGTTCCTGACAAAAAGAGAGATTGTGGCAGAGTGGTACGTAGTGGTATGAAGTGGTATCAACAGATTTTCTGTTAGAGAATCGTACAAAACAAATGTATGAAATTTTTGAAACATAAGGAGCACACATACCCAGGAGTGGCCGCTGAGTGGCATGGAGTGACAACAAAGAAGCTCTGGCCGACAACGTCAAACAGATCGTACTCTGTTACTGCTGCCTCTACCTGTGATGGCTCATTGGGGGTGATGTGATGGGCATGGGGTGGGGATGGGGCATGGGGCATGAAATAGGTTGGGGCATGAGGGCACGGAGTGACAACAAAGAAGCTCTGGCCGACAACGTCAAAAAGATCATACAGAGAGCATATTATGGCCCCCCTATCCATAGCTCACCCTGACCCCTATCCATAGCTCACCCTGACCCCTATCCATAGCTCACCTTGGAGGCATCTGCCTGTGAGAGGGGAATGCGCCGGTCGTCCACATTGGAGAACACATGGCGCTTCTGCTGCATGATGCTCTTGAGGACTGCGAGGGTTCTGATGGGGCAAGATGGGAGGAGAGCAGGCATGCAAGATGGTTGTTGTGGAAGGAGTGATGAGGTGCAGTGCATGCGCCGGTCATCCACATTGGAGAACACATGGCGCTTCTGCTGCATGGTGCTCTTGAGGACTGCGAGGGTTCTGATGGGGACAGGTGGGAGGAGAGGGCAGGGAGAGCAGGCATGGAGGATGATTGTTGTGAGCAGGGGGCATGCCATAAGGTGAACTTGATGGTTGTTCATGTTAGAGAGCACATGATGCTCCTGCTGCTGCATAATGCTCTTGAGGACAACAACCATCACGTGCTCACGAGCATATAATGCTGGTGATGGATTTCTGCATAATCTAAACTTTCTCTCATGCTGCTGCTCGCTGGAAATCTCTGAAGATGTGGAAATGTCTCACTAGTGCGGTGCTGCATTGCACCATGGTGCGTGCGTCACATGATACCCGTTATAGTAGTCTGCATGTCACTGTACCTCTTATAGAAGTCTGCATGTCACTGTACCTCTTATAGAAGTCTGCATGTCACTATACCCGTTATGGTAGTCTGCATGTCACTGTACCCGTTATAGTAGTCTGCATGTCTCTGTACCTGTTATAGTAGTCTGCATGTCACTGTACCCGTTATGGTAGTCTGCATGTCACTGTACCTCTTATAGAAGTCTGCATGTCACTATTCCCGTTATAGTAGTCTGCATGTCACTGTACCTGTTATAGTAGTCTGCATGGCACTGTCCCCATTATAGTAGTCTGCATGGCACTGTCCCCGTTATAGTAACCTTGCTGCATAGTCAGTGCACCTGTTATCGTAGTCGGCATATTTGGTGGTGAGTTGGCGCCACACAGAGATGGGCGTCACTGAGTTGCCCAGCCGAGAGGGATCGGCGCTCCTGTAGGGGAGAGTGGGGTGCAGGGCGGTGCACGGGGGTGCAGAGGGGTGCGGTGCAGAGGTATGAATGAAGAGGGATTAGCTGGTGGTGGTGGTGAGTTGGCGGAACAGTGAGATGGGTGTCATAGAGTTGCCCAGCCGAGAGGGGTCGGCGCTCCTTCAGATGTGTGCAGGGGAGTGCAGGTGGGTGGAAGGGATGGAGAGGGAGTAGCTAGTGATGAATTGGAGGAACACTGAGATGGGTGTCGTCACGGAGGTGCCCTGCCCAGCCGAGTGGGATCTGCGCTTCTGCATGTGGGAGGAAGGGGTAGTGAGGGAAGGCAAAAAGATGAAGACAGGCAGTGTTGGATGTGGAGGGGAGTTTGCCAGGAGTGGTGGGGAGTGGTAAGGAGTGGCGAGGAGTGGTGAGAAGTGGTGAGGATTGGTGAGGATTGGAGAGGAATGAACAATTGAGTGTTGAAGTGCGTTATTGATAGAGGAGGGAGAGTGGCGGACAAAAATGGGGGAGCGAAAAAAAGGGGGGAGGAAGGGAAGGAAGGGAAGGAGGGAAGGAAGGGAAGGGAAGGAAGGGAAGGAAGGGAAGGAAGTGAAGGAAGGGAAGGAAGGGAAGGAGGGAAGGAAGGGAAGGGAAGGAAGTGAAGGAAGGGAAGGAAGTGAAGGAAGGGAAGGAAGTGATGGAAGGGAAGGAAGGGAAGGATGGAAGGAAGGGAAGGGAAGGAAGTGAAGGAAGGGAAGGAAGTGAGGGAAGGGAAGGAAGTGAAGGAAGGTGAGGGAGCAGAGTCAATCATCGCCAGCGACCAGCAGCGTAGGAGAAAGTTTAGCAAGTGCACCACACCTGAGAGCTTCTGTCCAAACCACAGGCTCGCATGGGTCCACCAGCTGTCTCCATCTAGCCCCTACGCCTCTCATCATCCACTCACACCCAACCGCACTGCATCGCACCGCACCTGAGAGTTTCTGTCCAAACCACTGGCTCGCATGGATCCACCAGTTGCCTCCATCTAGCCCCTATGCCAAACAACCCCCTCCACCCTTCCATTCCACACCAGGGAACCGCACTGCACCGCACCTGAGTCTGTCCATCCACACCACTGGTTCACATGGGTCCACCAGCTGTCTCCATCTCGCTCCAATGCCAAACAACCCCCTCCACCCTTCCACTGGCATCCCCATCCCTTCCTCCTCCTCCTCTTCCTCATCCTCCTCATCATCCTCGTACTCTTCCTCATCCTCATCCTCCTCTTCCTCCTCCTCCTCTTCCTCCTCCTCCTCTTCACTTTTCTTTGGTTCTGCAGCTCTACTCCCCTCCGTCTGTCCACTTTTTTTCTTTCTCTTGGCCCACAGCCGCCACGTGGCGCGTGCTGATTGCATCACTTCCAGGGCTGCCATGCCCGCTGCCCTGTGCTGCCGGTTGAGAGAAACAACAGCAGGGGTGCAGAGCGGTGATGAAGAGTGAGGAGGTTTGCACAGGACTGAATGGGGGTGTGCTGATTGCATCACTTCTAGGGCTGCCATGCCCACTGCCCTGTGCTGCCAGTTGGGGAAAAACAACGGGGTGAAAGAAGGGGGGTACGTGGCAGGTAGAGAGCGGTGACGAGGAGTAAAGAGGGTTGAGTAGGATCGGGCCGCTTCCTCCTTCTCTGCTCACAATCTCGTTCATCTTATCTTCACTTGTGCTTTCTATCACTTGTATTTTGAAAATTCTCGGAAGTGATGCAGTTACTGTCCAACTTCATTCTCCTCTGCTCACACTCTCCAGAATCCTCACAGTATCTCGGCTCCTCGCAATGTTCCCAGCCAACACTGCTGTACTGCACGCACCAAAACGTGAAGCCAATTGGCCCAACCATCCTCTCCCTCGTCCATATTGGAATCACTTTTGAGAATTCTCAAAAGTGAATTCAACACTGCTGTACTGCACGCACCAAAACACCAAGCCAGTTGCCCCAACAATCCTCTCCCTCGTCCCCCATCCCTCCCCTCCCCACAACCATTGCTCACCGCTATCCTAGTCACAATCTTCCCTATAACGTTGTAGTGCATGCATGCACAGAAAAACAGAGTAAACCGCCTTGACAAGCATCCTCCCCTGCTCGTCCGCCATTCCTCCCAGCCACAATCGTTCGACACTCTCCCAATCCTTTTCGCCCGCATTCCCCCCAGCCACCACCACTCACCGCTCCCTTATTCACGATGTTGCAAACACCGCTGTGCCTCACCTCACTCACGCAGCAAACCGATTTCTTTTCACCGCTGTGCCGAAAAGAATCGCTGCACCTCACCTCACGCGCCACAACGCCAGGTCAAACAGCTGCCCCAAAACCTAGATCCCTCCCGGCAACCATTGCTCACCGCTCTCCTATTCACTGGTTCCCACCAACACCGCTGTACTGCACGCGCTCACCAATACCACCCTCGCCCTCTCCCTCTCGTCCTTCACTCTACCCCCAACCACCACCGCTCACCGCTCTCTTATTCACAATGTTCCCGACACCGCTGTACTGTACGCGCTGACCAATCAGGTCCGCCGCCCGAACCACCCTCGCCCTCTCCCTCTCCCTCTCCCTCTCCCTCTCCCTCTCCCTCTCCCTCTCCCTCTCATCCTCCTCGCCTCCCAACCACCACTCACCGCTCTCCTATTCACAACGTTGCCAACACCCCTGTACTGCACGCGCCGACCAATCAGGTCCGCCGCTCGAACCACTCTCGCCCTCTCCCTCTCGTCCTCCTCTTCCATCCGTCGAGGCGGGCGGCGGGGAGCAAAGGCAGCAGCAGGGGGAAGCATGGCATATCCGGGAAAGAGGTTTCTTGGGTCCTTCTTGTATGCCCAGTGGTTCTGAATGGGGTGGGGTGGAGGGGTATGGAGCGCGGGGGGGGGGGGGGTGGCAATAAGGGTAAGTAGAGAGGAAGGGGCGCAAATGCAGCAGCAGGGGGCAGCATGGCATAGCCGTGAAAAGTTTCTTTTTTGTCCTTCTTGTGCACCCAGTGGTTCTGAAGGTTGAGGGGATAGGACAAGAAGGGTATGAAGATGGAAGGGGAACAACTGAGGGCAGCAGGGGGCAGCAAGGCAAACCCAAAGAAGATACTCCATGCACCCTTCTTGTACGCGTAGTGGTTTTGAAGGGGTTGCAGGAATGGGGCGAAAGGGGCACGTGACGGAAAGGGTGAGGGGCACGGAAGTGAGCAAGAGAAGCAGCACAACAAGACAACATGGAATGGTGTGAAAGGAGAGGGTTTCTTGGTTCCTCCATTTGTTTGCTGGTTGTACTTTATAATTCTCAAGGTTGGGTTCTTAACAGGGTTATCTCTTAATATTTCCAAGGTATTTTCTGAGAATCGTCACAGTAGCAAGAATTCTCAAGCTTGTTGTGAGAATTGGTCAACAAAACTGCAAAACAACGGTTCAGGCCCTCCTTTTGGGCCGGTTTGTAGTCCACTAAGCAGTCAGTGGTTCTGAAGCAACGAATTTGGGAGCTGGAGCGACAACACAGGGGAAAGGCATAGCAATACTTAGCGAAAGAATGGAAGCAGAACTCAACCACTTTCATGATTGAGTTTCATCTCACCGCACACCGGACCGGTTCCTCTGAGACCAAGGAAAAGGATTTCCGTTGCCGGGACTTGAACCCGGGTCTTTCGGGTGAGAGCCGAATATCCTAACCGACTAGACTACAACGGATGTCGAGAAGACTACATATGCCCTAATCATACGAAAGAAATGAGCCACCCAATTTCAGTTTGCCTCCTTGCACTGGTTTACCTTTGGATCTGCTACCACCTCACCAACCCTGTCCCTTTCCCACGCCCATTACATGCCCTCACCAGGAACTTGGTGCTGAAGGCGCCTTCGATGGAGTAGTCACTGAAGGAGCTGTCGAGACGCATTGCTGTGAATGTGGCGATCTCACGCTGCGAGGGATACGAGGGGAGAAGATACGAAACAAGCGAAGAGAGAGAAACAGAGCAGTTCAAGACACCTCCAGCAACAGAAGGGGAGAGGGTTATAGAGTTGAAGCTTTGTGAGTTAAGAGGGCATATTCTTGCGACGGTAAAGCTTCACGAGTTATTTTTTAGACTTCTCCAAATCGCTCACAAGCAGAGGGGAATTAAGTTAAACACAGAAACTGGCTGGAAACCACCTCGAAACCACCAGGTAGTTTCCTCACAGCCACCTGGTAATTTCCCTAAAAACCACCAGGGGATTCCCTGAAAGCTGCCTGGTAATTCCCTGGAAATCACACATCACTCCAAAAGTCACCTGGTAGAAGGCGTGGAAGAGGATGGGAGCATCTTCAGGGTCGGACGGGGCGTCAATGATGCGCGTGAAGGCAGATACCTGCACGGTGGTGTGCGGTGGTGGGTGGTGATGGTTGGTGGTGGTGATGGGCATGAATAAAGGGGCATATGCGAAGGGACACATGTGAACAAGGGGCATGTGGGAAGGAACAAGGGGCATGTGGGAATGGGCAAGGGGCATGTGGGCATGGGCAAGGGGTATGTGACCGGACATGGCCGAATGGGCATAACACTCACCGCATGTGCCATGTGCCCCAGAGCCTGGCGACAGCAGCCCAAGGCGAGATGTTCCTTGGGGTTGCAAGATGCAATTGGAACCCCAGGCTTCATTTCCCCCATCCTCCCGAATCCCCACACCCAAATAACACATGCCCACCCCACACCCTGAATCCCAAACCCCTGGCAGTGCTGCACTCACCACATGTGCCATGTGGCCCAGAGCTTGGTGACAGCAGCCCAAGGCGAGATGCACCTTGGAGGTGCGAGGGGCATTTGGAACCCAAGGCATCAAATCCTCCATTCCCCACCACCACATACCCCACACCATGAATCTCACACCCCTTTCAGTGCTGCACTCACCACATGTGCCATGTGGCCCAGGGCCTGGCGACATCAACCCAAGGCGAGATGGTCCTTGGGGGTGCGAGGGGCCAGTGGAATCCCAGGGATAAAATCCCCCCTGCCCCAACATTACATACCCAAAAAACGCATACCCCACACTGTATATTTTAGACTCTTTACAGTGCTGCACTCACCGCATGTGCAATGTGTCCCAGAGCTTGGCGGCAGCAGCCCAGAGTGAGATGATCCTTGGGGGTGCGGGGAGCGAGGGAGAACCACTTGGTGAGGAGGGGGATGGTGCCCCTGGTGTGTGGGAGGGGAGAAGAAGAAGAAGAGGTGGAAGGGGAGAGGAAAGAAGAGAAGGCGTGTCGGGAAAGAGAGGAAGACGAGTGGTTTTTGGGGGTGCGGGGAGCGAGGGAGAACCACTTGGTGAGGAGAGGGATGGTGCCTCTGATGTGTGGGAGGGGAGAAGAGGGAAGGGGTGGGAGGAGAGACAGACGAGTGGTCGTTGGGGTGTAGCAAGAGGGGAGAGGGAGAGCCATTTGGTGAGGAGAGGAATGGTGCCCCTGGTGTGTGGGAGGGTGAAATGGAGGCACGTAGGAGAGCAAGCACGTGGGACGATGAGGAAAGGGCAGAGGAAGGACGTGGGGGCAAATGGAACTTGGGGTGCGAGGGGCAAGAGAGAACCACTTTGTGAGGAGAGGGATGGTGCCCCTGGTGTGGGGGAGGTAGAGCAAGCACGTGCACATGATGGCATGATGGCATGAGGGCATGAGGGCATGAGGGCATTATGGCATGATGGCATGGCGGTGTGATGGCGTGGGTGGGTGCATAATGGCATGAGGGCATGATGGCATGCGCGCATGATGGCATGTTGCCAAACCCTCACACCACTCCCTCTCACTCAAAGATCACACACCAATCTCCCTCACCCAAAACTCTCTCACAACACTCACACACACTCCAATCCAAACTCACCCACACCGTTCTCACTCACTCCAGGCTCCCCCAAGCACTTGCACCCTGCACTCACTTCAGCTCCCTTGTCATCTGTCACTGCCCAGTGCTGTTAAGCCTTCGGGTTGCTGCACTGCCAAATCCCCTTCAATCCTCCTCATTCACTCGCCCCAACCTCTCCCTGCTTCTCACCCCCCATCCCCCCTCACTTTCAGCTGCCCCATACCTTTTGAATCGACCTCGCACGCTCCAAGCTTCTCAAAGCACTTACACCAGCACTCACTTCAAGTCCCCTGTCGCCTGTCGGTGCATGGCTCAGTGCTTGTAAGCCTTGGGATTCCTGTTGCGGTGCCTCAAAAAAGGTTCTCACACTCACTCCAACCTTCTCCAAGCACTCACACCCCGCACTCACTTCAAGTCCCCTGTCATCTGTCGGTGCATGGCCCAGTGCTTGTAAGCCTTGGGGTTCCTGCGCTGGAGCAAAGAGGGGAAAAGCAGAGGCGCGAGGCCTTGGGGTTTATCCTTGAGACGAGACAAGTATAGTGCTGGAGCCGCAGTGGGGGGGAAAGGTAGGAAGTAGGCGGTCTAAAATGCGCTGCCTCCTCTCATCCCCATACCACAGTGCATAGCCCAGTGCTAGTAAGCCTAGTCTGTCAGACACTAACGGAGGTTCACAGTCAGCTATAGCTCGCCCTCAGTGTTCCTGAACATTCTTCTCCTGCAAGCAGTCTTTCTGAAAATTCACCAAAATTACTCCATTGGGGACGCCCAATGGAGCACTGAAATTTCTCCAATATTGGGCGTCTCCATTCTCTCTGATTCTTTGAGGAACTTCAGAAACCATTGGGCGTGTCCACTCCACTACCAATGACCACCATTGAGTAGCAGTCCAGTAGCACTGACGAGGTGACTTTTGAGTCGACTCAAAAGTCACCTCGAAACCACTGGGCGTCTCCACTACCAATGACCATTGAGTAAAATTAAGTGACCCCTGAACCCAGTAGTACTCTCTTGGGAATTGCCAAAAGCAACCCCAGTGATAGTAAGCCTACTCTCACACACACACCAAGGAAGGTTCAGCTATTTACCCTGCACCCAGTACTCTTTGGGAAAGACCAGCAGAACCCTGATGACTCATCCTCTCCTCTCACTCACCGGGGGTCCGCCTCAACGGCCAATCGGAACGCCCTCTCGGCCTTGTCAGCATCTGGCAGCCAATGGTACGACAGCCCCACCAGCGCCCACGCCGCTGATGTTGTCATCACCCACTCTGCTGAGCTGGCGGCTGCTGACGTGTCCTCTGCTGACGTGGCTGCTGCTGAGTTGGCGGTTGCTGACGTGTCCTCTGCTGACGTGGCAGGGGAGGAGCTGGGCGCTGACGTGGCAGGGCTGGTGAGGTTCCGGGACGAAAGGAGGGCAGCAGCGCGTTCGTTGGCTTGCACTGCTTCCTGCACCCTGCCTGCTGCGTGTAGTGCCTCGCCCTGATAGATAGAGGCACCAAGGGGAGGGAGGGATGGGAAAGGATGGGGAGGGGGGGGCGGCCGGGTCAGGAATATGCACAGTGCCCCCCTTCTTGCACCCTGCTTCCTGCACCCTGCCTGCTGTGTGTAGTGCCTCGCCCTGATAGATAGAGGCACCAAGGGGAGGGAGGGATGGGAAAGGATGGGAGGGGGGGGGCGGCCGGGTCAGGAATATGCACAGTGCCCCCCTTCTTGCACCCTGCTTCCTGCACCCTGCCTGCTGTGTGTAGTAACTCGCCCTGATTAAAGGGCGAAGGGGAATAGCAAGGATGCGAGGGGGTTCGATTGGGGGAGAGGAGAGGTGTGAAGGGAAAAGGATGGGATGAGACGAGGGTGGCAGCGCGCTCATTGGCTTGCACTGCTTCCTGCACCCTGCCTGCTGTGTGTAGTGCCTCACCCTGATAGAGGCAGCAAGGAGGGAGGGATGGGAAAGGATGGGGGAGAGTTGAAAGGGCGGCCGAGGCGGGGACATGCTCACAATCACTCAGTGTCTCCCCCATGCACCCTGCTTCCTGCACCCTCCCTGCTGTGTGTAGTGCCTCGCCCTGATAGAGGCAGCAAGGAGGGAGGGATGGGAAAGGATGGGGGAGAGTTGAAAGGGCGGCCGAGGCGGGGACATGCTCACAATCACTCAGTGTCTCCCCCATGCACCCTGCTTCCTGCACCCTCCCTGCTGTGTGTAGTGCCTCGCCCTGATAGAGGCACCACCAAAGGGGAGGGAGGGGCAAGGACGGGAGAGAGAGAAAGGGGATGGGATATGCAGACAATCACTCAGTGCCTACCCCAATGCACTCTTCCTGCTGTGTGTAGTGCCTCGCCCTGATAGCCGCATCAGGGGGGAGGGACAGGCAGGGATGGGAGATAGTTGAATGGGGGGGTGCGGAAGTGCTTAGTGCCCTCCTATGCACCCTGCCAGCTGTGTGTAGAGCCTCCCCTGGATAGAGGCAGCAGGGGGAGGGACGGGCCGACAGGCAAGGATGGAACTTGGAAGGGTGTTGGATGGGCGGAGATCAACAGGAAAGTGCTTGGTGTCCCTCGGTGCTTGCACTGCCTCCTGCACCTTGCCTGCTGTGTGTAAAGCCTCGCCCTGGGTGAAGAGGGATAGGCGGTTGGAGGGGGTTGGATTGGCGGATAGAGGGGGTTGGATTGGCGGATGAGAGGGGGTCCTGGGACACGCGATCGAAAACTCAGCGCCTCCCCCAATGCACCCTGCCTGCCACATGGTGGGAGCACGTGGGTGGAGGGAGTATGTGGCGGGAGGGAGGGAATATGTGGCGGGAGGGAGAGAGTATGTGGAGGGAGGGAGGGAGTATGTGGTGGGAGGGAGAGAGTATGTGATAGAATTCAAGAATGGTTGAGTAATGAGCCAAGGAGGCTCTATAGTACAAGCATGCAAGGAAGAGAGGTTGGAAGAAGGAGAAAACCCTATTGGCCACTAAGTTGGCCAATGGGTGAGATGCCTTGTGGAGTAGGGAACCCCACAATGTTGCTAGCTTGTGATTGGTTGGCCTTAGGACCAAATGTTGGCAAGTGCCAACCAAGGACCAAGACCAAATCCAATCTTGACCCAACCGCAAAGTGTGGTTGGAGTGTACACCCAACCCCCCAATAGCTTAAAGAGCTACACCTATTCTAGCCTATGTATGTTGTATATAAGATACATTTACAACACAACCCCCCAACATGCATAAGGCTAGAAAAAATGTAATCAGGAGGCCACCAGAACTGGTGGCGGGGTGAGACCAAGGAGACGCAACAGGAAGGAGTGGGACGCTTGGGGAAGAGCTTTGGTGAAGATGTCGGCGAGGTTGGCTGCCGAGTCGATTTTGCCAAGACGAATGTGGCCGGCCTCAACGAGATCGCGAATGAAGAAGTAGCGAAGCTCAATGTGTTTTGAGCGCCCATGATACACAGCGTCCTTGGTGAGGTGGATGGTGCTGGCGTTGTCACACCAGATGGTGGGACAGCGTTGGGGGGCTCCGAGCTCATCAAGGAGGAAGGTGAGCCAGCGTGCTTCTTGCGCGGCCATGGTCGCAGCATAGAGCTCTGCTTCGCAGGAGGAGAGGGCGACGGCAGAGGAGCGTGTGGACCGCCAGCTGATGAGACCGCTGCCGAGGGAGAAGCCATAGCCCTGAGAGGACCGCCGATCCGGTCGAGAATCAGCCCAGGAAGAGTCGCTGTAGCCGTTGAGGTGTGGTGGGGAAGGGCCGCCAAGAGTGAGGACATAGTCCTTGGTGCCACGAATGTAGCGAAGGACACGCTTGGCGGCCTGCCAGTGCTCTTCCGTGTGCTTGCCAGCGCCAACGAACCGAGCGAGGACGCTGATGGGGTAGGCAAGATCGGGGCGAGTGGAAACCATGGCGTACATGAGAGAGCCGATGAGTTCCGGATAAGGATGGGAGGAGGGAGAGGGAGAGGAGGGTGGGGAGAGGTGATGCTCAACAGAGAGGGGAGTGGGCTGGGGGTTGCCGCGCGCCATGTCAAACCGGTCCAAGACCTGCTGGAGGTAGTGACCCTGAGAGAGTGAGATGGTGCGGGCGGAGCGGTCGCGAGTGATGGTCATGCCGAGGTAGTTCTGCAGCTCTCCCAGGTCTTTGCACTTGAGACGGCTGCCCAGCTCCGCCTTGACAGTCTCGAGCTCGGCAAGGTCGGCGGTGAGGAGGATCATGTCGTCAACATAGACGAGGATGTAGAAGGGGGAGGGAGAGGTGCGGAGGAAGAGGCTGGCGTCAGAGCGGGAGGTGCGAAAGCCAAGCTCAGCAAGGGTGGCAGCAAGCTCCCTGGGTGCCTGACGGAGCCCGTACACGGGTCGGCGCAGCTGCCAGACGGAGTCGGCGGGGAAGGGGAGGTGGAAGCCGTCTGGGCGCTCCATGTAAATGAGTTCACGTAGTACGCCTTGCAGGAAGGCGTTGGAGACATCCATCGAGTGGATCTCCATGTTGAGGCGAGCGGCGAGGTCGAGTACAGCGCGAACGGTAGCAGGTTTGGCGGTGGGGGAGAAGGTGTCGAAGAAGTCAAAACCATACCGCTGCGTGAAGCCCTTGGCGCAATACCGGGCCTTGTAGACGGGCGGTTCTCCTGGTAGCTGTTTGACGCGAAACACCCACTTCCCCTTTACCACGTTCGTAGAGGAGGGAGGGCGAGGGACATCAACGAAGGAGGAGTTGGCGATAAATGCCTCGAGCTCCTTGATGATGGCGGCAAGCCAGAGCGGGGCGTCGGGGCAAGCCATGGCCTCCTCGTACGTGGTTGGGACGAAGATGGAGGGAGCAGAGGAAAAGGCGAAGACTGGTGTTCCAGACAGGTCAAAGGTGATGGGGAGGAGGGAGGGGTCGGAAAGGTGGAGGTCAAGGAACTCCTCATGGGAGTCCTCAGAGAGGGAGGTGTGGAAGGCGCGGATGACCGCTGGGGCCGCTGCTCGTGCCGCTGCTGGTGCCGCTGCTGGTGCCGCTGCTGGTGCCGCTGCTGGTGCTGCTGTGGAGGCCGCTGCTGCCGCTGCACTTGCCGCTGCTGGTGCCGGTGCCGCTGCTGCTGCTGCACCTGCCGCTGCTGGTGCCGCTGCAATGGCTGCTGCTGGAGGTGCTGCTACCGAGGATGGGGAGGTGGTCGAGGAGGCTGGTGCAGGAGAGGCGTGGTGTAAGACAGCCTGGAAGAAGTGGTGAAGGAGGGGAGAAAGGGGGGGAAGGGAAGAGGTAGAGAGGGTAACAGGGGGCGGTGCACCAAGGATACTGCCACATGACCTGGTGTGAGGATACCGGGTGAGTATGGTGCGGGGAGTGGGGGAGGGAGGTGGTTGGGAGGGAGGGGGAGGGGCGCCGGGGGAGGAGTGGGCGGGGGAGACAGGGAAGATAGAGGGTCCGGGTCAAAGATATCACCAGACGAGGGAGGGGCACCGTGGGACTGGGAGGGCGGAGGGGGAGGGGGTGGGAGGATGGGGGGAGGAGGGAGGAGAGGGGGAGGTGTGGTGTCAGACCAGACAAGGGGACGGGTCAGAGGCGGGAGTGGGTCAGTGGACGGGGGAGAGGAATAGTACGGGGTGGACTCGTCAAAGACGACATCTCTGCTGCGAATGAGTCGACCGGAAGCGGGGTGGAGGAAAAGGTAGTCGGGGGAGGAGGGGTTATGACCAAGGAAGACGCAAGGAAGGGTACGAGGGGCAAGCTTTCCAAGGGAGCGGGATCGGTCAGACGGGTGAATGAGGACATAGGCCTTTGAGCCCCAGACTCGAAGAGGGGAGACATCGGGTTTGTCCTTTGTCCATAGCTCAGTGGGGGTGGTGGAGGGGAGGAGGGGGTGAGGGTAGAGGTTAGTAAGGAGGGCGGCATGAAGGAGGGCGTAGCCCCACAGAGAAGGGGGGCATGAGGCGTGGACAAGAAGACACCGAGCCGTTTTGGTGATCTCCCGAACACGGCTCTCAGCGACACCGTTCTGCTGTGGGGAGTGAGGGAGGGTGTGAGTCTGGAGAATGCCGCGGGACTGGCAGTAGGAGGAAATTTGGGTATTAAGGAACTCACCACCACCATCAGAGTGGAGGCGACGAACAGGGCGGCCAAAGTGGGTGTTGGCTTGCTCGAGCCAAGCAATGATCGCGGTCGGGGCATCCGCCTTCGTCCGAAGGAGAGAGACGGACGAGTACCGACTGTGGTCATCGACGAGCACGAGGAGGTAGCGATGGCCTTGGCGAGTGGGGGAAGGGTTAGGGCCCCAGAGGTCCATGTGAACAAGATCAAGTGGCTGAGACCGGAGGATACAGAGGAGCGCAGAGTGGCGAAGTTGGGGTGACCTAGCCTGTGATGGAGGAGGATGGCAGGGTGGGAGAGGGAGCGACATGAGCAGTCAGAGTCGGGGGGGCGGGGGGGGACGGGTGGGTTAGTGGAGGGGAGGGGAGGGAAGAGGGGGGGGGAGGCAACTTGGAAGGTGAGGGGGCGAGGAACTCGAAGGGTGTATAGACGGGTGCGGGG